CTCTTTACCCTTCGTTCCCTCCTCTACATTCCTATCCTCCTCTGTTTTCTTGTCCTCCTCTACCTTTTTATCTTCCTCCGTTTTCTTTCCCTCCTCCACCCTCTTATCCTCCTCCATTTTCACCTCCTCCTATTCTATACCTCTTCCTTCTATAACTTGCCTCTTTTCTTCCTTCCTCTGTATGTTCCCCCTCTATCTATCCTCTCTATTCTATGCCTGCGGCCCGCTCTTCCTGTCTCTACCGCTTTCTTCTCTACCACTCTCGCTAGTCTATGCCTGTCACTGCTCCCTGCCTAACCTATCTCTCGCTACCCTCCCTTCTCACCTCTGTGGCTTTCCTACTCACCCTCGCGCCTCCCCTTCTCTCTCCCGCCTTCTCTTCGATCTCCTGCACGTCCGCCCGTACCTCGTTCCTCCGCCAACGCTCTCTTTCCTACTACTAGCTACTTTTCACTCACTCGCTGAATCTCACACACTGTCGCTCGCTCGCTGCCGGAAACGGAAGTCTCTATAAATATTTACCTAAAATATTGTAATATTACTAATAAAGCTATATAAAGATTTTTGTTAAAATATTTCTAAAATATTACTTTTAATATCTTTAAAAATACAATGAATTATATTCCAATGTTGTGAAGGCTCTCAAAAAGAAATTGTATGGAACGGGGAAAAGTGCCAATGCGAGCCAACAAATGAACGGAAGACGGTTCTCACAAATTTATAAATACTTTCTCTCTTTAATATAAACGTTTCGACCCTGTTTCGGGTCTTCCTCAGTATAACTATAATAAAGATAGCAAATACAGGATGTGAGTACAATGTATTATAATAGATTGGTAGCTTCGTTTGATTTGGTGGATGATAATGTTACCTCGTTAAATATATGGTTTGAGAATCTCTTTTTTTTTCTTTTTCTATCATGGTCTCATGCTTCTTCTCTAAATGTTCCCGGACATAAAGAGAACTGGAGACACGTCGACTGAGATGACTTCGTTGTAATGGATTTAACACGACTGTGACACAGCAATATCGAAGTGCGACTTAAATAAGTGTGGTAAACAAGACATTGGTCATGTATCGTCGTTTACCGAAAAACAAACGGCGCAAAATTTAAAATTTGTCTAAACATGTCAAACGTCATAATAAATTAACAATTGTGTTAGTTAAAATTATAAAATTGTAATAAGTTAATAAATTTGGTCAACAAAATAAAATGTAGAAATTAAAAAAGTAAAATTAAAATTAAATTAAAATAAAATTAAGACATAATAGATGTAAAAAATTAGTCATTAAAAATTTTAAAACTCAATAAATAACGTTTGAATATCCAGAGTTTCAACTCAAACAGAGCTTGATTAAAAATTCAAAATTGAATATGGTGGACATTCATCGATAATTAAACTAAACTTGTGTCAGAATATTAAAGGTTGAAGTGTTAAATTTGTAAAGAGTTGGTCAAAAAAATTAAAATGGAAGTATAATCCATGGAAATTAAAATGGTAAACTTAAAATAAGGAAAAATAAATAAATAAATAAATAAATAAATCAATGAATGAATAGTCAAACTCTACTTAGGTCCTGGATGATTAAGTTGTATAAATCACCCAGGAGATCCGTGTCATTTTGTAAATTGAGGCCGTTAGTTTGGCATTTAATATAAATCATTTCTGAGATGAGACGCCTGTAAAGAAAACGTTCTTCATCCAAGATTTCAACATTATCCCAGTCAAATTCATGGCCAGATTGTCTATGTTCCGTTATGACTGATATTTGCTTCGTGTTTCTATTAATATGTTTACGGTGTTCATTTACTCTAGTGGCTAGTACTCTACCGGTCTGGCCCACGTATGATGCGTTGCAATCATTACATGAGATTTTGTAAACTACATTGTTGCGTGCGAGCGTTGGAAGTGGGTCTTTATGAACTTTGATAAAGTTTCTAAGTTTCTGTAAACCTGTGTGTGATAGAGTTGTATTGAGATCTTTGACCACCTGTGTGAACTTTTCAGATATATGTATTTGGGATATACGGAATGTTGAAAAATCTGCCCTTATCGTTGTTAGTTGTATTCGTAATGGTGGCTGCCGTGGAATTTGATTTTCGATTTCTGATTAAAATGTTTATTCTCTCCCTTATTGTTTGAAAAATAAGGGGGAGGGGGTAGCCGTTCTCAAGTAAAATATCAATCACGAATTTGAGATTTTTTTGTTGAAATCTTGGATGGGCTAAAGTATTGCTCGGTCGGTTAAGCATTTGATGGTGCCCTTTTTGTGACACAACGGATGAGACGACGCGAAATTGAGGTATCTGCCAGAAAACGTCGGTTTGTGGTACCAATCGAATTCAATCGTGTCGTCTCTAACAATGATAGTGGTGTCGAGAAAATTCAAGTGTTTGTCGGTTCCTTCTTCTAAAGTAAATTGTATTCTACTGTGGAGAGAATTAAATGTCTCGAGTGTGGAAGTTTTTTGTGAAGAAGGAACCGACATCGCGATGTCGTCCACATATCTGACGTAAAAAGGTGGAACAAACGTCAGGGCTTCAAGTGCTTTAATCTCGAGGTCCTGCATAGTAATGTCCGCTATAATCGGTGATAGTGGAGAGCCCATGAGTGTGCCAAAGGTTTGTTGGTAAAATGTTTTGTCAAAAGAAAAAATGTGGAATTTAATACAAACCGAATAGCCAACAAGAACTCGTCACATGGAATTGTGCATTTGGAACCTATGTGATGCCACCGTTTTAATATACTTTCTTCAGCTAATTCTATCGGTACATTAGTGAAGAGTGATATCACGTCTAATGAAATGATATCGTACTCTTGGTCTACGTGGAGTCCGTTTAATTTGTTAATCAATTCGAAACTGTTCATTACATGGGTTTAGGAACTGCAGAGTTAATGATTTTATGTAAAAAGGTGGCAAACGCATAAAGTGGAGTATTGACGGAAGAAACGATAATCCGTAGAGGGTAACCTGTCTTATGTATCTTTGGCAATCCATAGGCTCTTGGTAGGGCACCATCCGTAAAGTTTCATCTTTTATAGGTAGTCTCATCTATATATTTCAATTTTTTCCACCTTGCGAGCAATTCGTGGAGACCTCCAATAAGTTTTTTTGTGGGGTCTTTTTAATTATATTGTACGTGCATCTATCGTTCAGAAGGGATAACATTTTATTTTTATATGTTTCTTTATCCATGATTACCGTAGTGTGGCCTTTATCCGCTTTAGTCACGATGATGTTCGGGTTATCATTGAGAAATTCTTTTGTCTTTTTTACGGAATTAAGTACGAGGCGTTCATTCTCTGTTGGATGGTAGGAATGAGCAGCCGCGTTGTTTATTATAGGGAACGATCTGTTTCTTATAAGTTCCCGTTTGTCGACTGGGAATCTGATGATGTTGTTCTCAACGGATTTAATTAAGGCTGGGATGATTTGATTATTGTCATCGATCGGGAGGCAGTAACGTTCGCCTAATTGTAAGAGGCTTTGGACTTGTGGAGGAATCTGTGTAGTGGAAAAATTTAGAAACCATTTGTTGTTTAATTTTTCGAGTGTGGTTGGTTCAGGGAATGAATCTGGTTCAATAAGAACCTCGGTCATAGGTCAACTATTATGGGGAAACATGTTGGTGGAGTAGACATGTAACGATGCACCCCGAAAACGCATCGTTCCCGGCAAGAGCCGGATGCCGCCAACCACCGGGCGAAGGGCGAGCGCGCGGGGTGTTCACCGCCTAAGCACGTCACACGACGCGCTCGCGGGCGAACCGATCGCCCGCGGGACCAGCCGAGCGCGCCCGAGCCGGCGAGACACGCGTGTCGCGAGGGCTACTAGTCGGCTGTGTAAACTTGTGTTTTCTAGTGACAAATAATAGTTACTAAGTACGGCGGCTACAAGTGGTCGGCATATTCCTTCGCTACGACGGTTTACTGTATAAAAGGGAAAAAAGAAGTGAGGTTACGTCTGATATCATTCTGGCACATAAGTAATACCGAAGTGGGAGGAGGAAAATACGCAAGTACGGCACACATTTTTTTTCTTTTTACTCAACAATGAACAACGGCAATATTCAGAGTATCATTGAGGTAATAAATATTTTGAATCAACATTAGGTGACGCAGTTTCGATCACCACCATGGATTAAAAATACCAAGCATGGATACTATACTACTTT